AAAAAAAAACACAAAAAGTGATTTTTACTACAGGGTAAAGCATTTTACCTTTTTGATTCCTAATTGTTTTTGGAACAATAATTGATCCATCACCTTCAATTAACCCTGCCAAATAACTACCTAAATAATTATCAGAAGAGTCGTTAGATGAAGAGGAATTTAAGGAAGACTTAAATCTTTTACTTCAATGACCTAGCCACGAAGTAAAAGTCATATCTATACTAAATATATACTTTCATATGTATATTGGACTATATCTTCATCCTCTTATTCTTCTTTTTTAATTAAAAAAGACTAGGAGCTTCACGTTTAGTCTCTGAGGATCCTACTTTTATGCTTGCCATAAGTAAATTTTGGTTTCTGCTGATTGCCCATTGTAGTATCCTTTAAAATTTTTACTTATAGAATTATTAAAATTATATAGTACCTAAAGGCTTTAGGTATTTCCAGCATATAGTGAAGTTTTTAATAGTAATTACTTACTACTCTGGCACAGGTCATGTACCAGCTCCATTTTCAACTAGTGAACTTAATAATAATAAAATTAATGCAGGTGGTAATAGCCAAAATGATATATTGTTTAATCTAGGGAATCTTTTTGCATAAGTAATTTCTTACCTATTTGGACTATGTCTTCATCCAATTTGTTTTTATCTGATTATCTAGTATAATTAGCAAATTGGAGCCTAGCGTATTAATGTATAAAACTATACATTCCTAATATAATATTTGTACTAGAAAAAATTATATTAAAGTCTCTGAGGATCCTACTAAGAAATAAAAATTTTCCTTTGGTTTCCTGCATAACCTCCCCTTGTGTATTTAAATTTTTACTAATAATAAGTCGTTAAAACAACTGCTAATCAAAAGATGATTAAATTAAGTGTATTAAATACCTGTTCTCTTTGTTAAAACAAATGCTTTGAGGAATTCCATGCATATAGCTAAGTAATAATAAGTCTTATTACTAAGACAAACGGCATTATAAATTATTTAAATGCTCCCAATTGAAAGATGTTCTACTATTATTCATTTGGCTTTTCTGTAAAGAAACTAATTTTCTTCCTTCAACGGTCTTATGATTTTTATTAATTATTTCATTAAAAACAATTTTCCAATTTAAAAAATCTAAATGTTTGCTACTTAATAAAGGATAAACATCTAAATAACCAATTAATAATTTGATAGCATTTTGGTTTTCAACTCTAATAATATAATAAGAATTTTTCTTACTTATTCTTTCTCTAATATGTAATTTGACATTTAAAGCTAAACAAATTTTGTTTAATATTGAATTATAATTTTCATTGGTTTTAGGATAAATCATCCTTTGTTCTAAATTAAATTTACAAATTATTTGTTTTAAAGAATTTCTAATATAAAAATTACCATCCGCATCTATAAAACCTGAGAACCAACTATCGTTTAAGATAGGACTATCATTAAGAGGTAATTTAGTTATGTTCATAGAATGTTTTTTATTCATCCAATCAATTAATTTATATAATTGATCTATTTTAGGAGTTCTAAACTTTCCGTTAATAAGTTCAATGATTTTACATAAAGTTTGTTTGTGCGAAAATCTTAATTCTATACAATTAGTTTTTCTTTTGGCGATAGATCCTTTTCCTAAATAACTTAATAGTTTTTCAGCTAAAGGTTTATCTTTAAGATTAAAAGTGATACCTAGTATAACTCTATCTTCTTTTGTAATAGATATATAACCGTCTCCTTCTATTAATCCAGATAAATAATGAGCTAAAGCGGCTTGCGCCGCGGTGTAATTAATTATAGGACTTCGTTGAGGTTTGTGTGAATTAGAACCAGTTGAATATTTTCGAACTAAACTTAACCATTTGGCATCGACTCTTGGTTTTTGGGAGAGATTAACATTTTTTGTGTTTGCCATCAATGTTATTATCGGAAGAGCATTTAACTCTCCCTTCTTATTATTACTAATAAGTTTATACTATGTCATCTTGTGAACGTTACAAGTCGGGCGCTCGTGTCCGGAGTATTGTTAGTGCTACTCACCGATTAGTCGTTGAACTTTCATAGATCATTTAAAAATAAATTTTTAAGCACTGATCTAAGCTTAGCTGCAAATTGTTCTAGTAATTAGAAGATTTTTGCAATTCACCCGATACCCTATTATCTTCATTTTTTGTCTTCCACCACCTCTCCTCCTTTTTTTAAAATAAATAAATAAATAAAAAAAGGTAAAAAAGCACTCCCTTCCCTCGCTAAGCGCTTAAGTAAAGGGAAAGGGCTAGACAGAATATCGCATCGATTAGAGTTGAACTCAACCAATATTTATGAAGGGGGGAAAGAGGTTAGAGAAATAGAGGACTGTCTGGTAATAATGATTTAATTAAGTAATTAGTAAGATTTGAGTGATTCTAAATGATCCCATTTAAAAAGGGTTCGTTTGCTATTCATACCTGATTTTAATTTTAAAGCTAGGGCTCGGCCTTCTGGTGTAAGATGGTTATTGTTGACAATTAAATAATGGCAAGCTAACCAATCTAAATAATTAAGCCGTTTGCTAGAAAATAAAGGGAACTGTGTAAAGTAATTAACAATAATACTTCGTGATTTTGTACTTGAAGCACTAACTAAGAAGTATTCTACATTACCATTATGTGTAGACAAATTAAGTGAAACACCAAGTGTTGTAGCAATAGATGTTATAATATCAAAATAAGATATTCCTGTATCAGGGTGTACTTTCCGTTGTTCTAATCGCAATCGAGCACTCACCCGATTTTTAGAAGATCCTCCACTAGTTTGAGAAACTCGAATGTCAAATGAACCATCAGCTTCAATAAAACCAGCTAACCAAGCATTATTAAGTAAATTACTATTATCTACATTATGTGTAGGTATAGAACTTCCGGTAGCTCGATTAATCCAGTATATCATATCATTAAATCGGGTTAATTTTGGAGTTCTCAAACAACCATTGATTAAATTAATAATATTAATTAATCCTGGTATTGAAGTGATTGTAAGAACGTAAGCGTGATTTTCCACTTTATGTCGAATCGAACCCCCAATTAAAACTTTTAATTCTAAAACTAAAGGGTATTCCGATTCAGCAAATGAAATAGCAAAATGAGGAGTATATTTTTTTCCACTAGGGGATTTAATAGTCTTAGGGATCCAAATATGCCCATCTCCTTCCCATAATCCTGCTAAATAATACTTAATATTCGATGTTGGCCGTCCATGCATTTTCTTCCCTCCCCTCCCGCTAGGGGGCGCCACCAATCCACTCTTGTTGGTAGATGGGTAAGGGTCAGGGAGGGAATTATGTAATAAACTTAACCATCGTACATTATTTTTAAAACGATCAGGGGCTCCCACTTGAACTGGTAGTAAATAATTACCAAATCCTCCAACTAAAGCAGGCATACTAGTTACCTATAAATTTCTAAATAGGGATGGACTATATCTTTATCCCTTTAAAGGGATATCTCGCGTGTAGTCTCTGAGGATCCTACTTATAGTATAAATAGAATTTATTTAGGACCTTCTATTTTATATTACTTTGGTTTCCTGCTGATTGTCCAATTATTACTATGTTACTTTTTTCTACCTTTAAGTAGACTTAGTTAGTAATACTCTAAGGATATTCCAGCATACAGCGAGAAGTAAGATTTATATTACTATAAAACCCGGCCATGCCTTAATTTAATAAAGTAATTTAAGTATCCGTTATTTATTCCCATAAATATTCCTTATGAAATATTTAACCTTAATAATTAAAAATAGAAACCATTAAGGTCCACTAAAATTAAGTATCGTAAATTTCCATTGTTTTCGATATAAACCTTCAGATCTACCTAAAATATATTTTCTAATTGTAGATTTATCTCCTTTCAAATGTTTAGCTAATTCTCCTATACTTGAAAATGTACAATTTAAGTTAGGATTCAGTATATTTTCAGCCAAGACTTTTTTACTCTTAGGTTGATTTGGTTTATATTTAGATCTAACAGTATTTATTAATAAAACTAAATCTTCGGAAGTTAATATTGATTCATAAGGCAATTCAGATATAATATCCATAGAAAACAAAAATCTATTAAGATATAATTTTCCATCTATAATACAATTATTTAGGGAAATATGATGAATACCAATATTGCTATATAACCATTCTTTAGAATCAGATATAAAAATAAGTGATTTTGTTGTATTATCATAAATATAAATAGGTGTACCTCGTATTTTTCGAAGAGCATCTCTTGCTGCTTGAGACATAGGATAATGATAACCATTATAACCACCTGCTACTAAGTCAACGTTAAGATTAGGTGATAAAGAATCAATGTAATATTGTTCTAATTCTAGGACCTGCTCCCATGTTGAATTAGAATCTAATATAAAAAGAGTAAGTTTAACATTATTAAATCCATATTTATTAAAATATCTAAGGACCCTTCGATCAGCTTTGGCTAAAATAGAAGGCATAAAATAAGAACAAACCCTGTTATATAGATTTATTGAACTACCAACATAACTTATATTATGATTAGATAACTCTTCGCAAACGGTAAAAATATAAACCCCTTTAGCCCCTTTTGCAACATCTGCTATTTTAGATCTATTATGAAAAGGATCTAATATTTCAAATTTTTTAGGATTATATTCTTTATATTCTTTGGAATTTATTTTAGAATCTGTACTTATGTTTCTATTAAGGGTACTATAAATAATACTTAAAATAACAAAAAGGAGTTGATGTAAATAAATCAAGTTTTTGTAAATTACTTTATTAAAAATTTTGACCATGAAGAAAATCATAACAAATGCATGTGCAGTTATTATAACGTTAAATAATTGGTGATCACCTTGTAATATTTGAACTCCAGGACTAGATAATTCTAATCTAATTAAAACAGAAAAAGCAGTACCTATCATACCAGCAAATACTGCAAAAATTAGATAAAGCGTACCTATCTCTTTAGCATTAGTAGAGGAGAGCCAGTAACTCATAATATTAAAATATATTTTTTTAATAAATAATTTAATTTAAATTATAATTATTTATTTATTTTTATTTAAATTATTAAAATCTTATATTAAACGGTTGTTTATCATTGCTGGCTATTATTCACTTTTAAGCCCATATACGTAATTAAATTTTCCTAAATTCATTTTCATTTAATTAGTTTTTACTCCCTATTTTATTTCCTAGCTATAATGGACTCGGTATACTAGACTTGGGAGGCTTTTTAATATTTATTTTTATTTATTTATGTTATAGCCCTCTCTTATACCGTATCTATTATTTAACGCCAAGTTGTAGAAACGCTTACTTGATTAGGCTTACCCCCATCCCGCCTACCCTCTACTATTTTAAATAGATAGCGGAGAGCTAGCAGAGGCTCGGGGAGAGCTCCTTTAATTTTAGCGAAATTGGGATTCGAACCCAACCTAACAGGTCATGAGACTGTTGTGCATGCCTTTACACCTTATCACTTAAATTTTATTTTATTTCTTTCCTATATTCTATATATATCTTTACTTTTTACCCCTCCGCTGCGCTGCCTGGCGCCAGCCTGCTGGACTCCTTTTTGTCCTTTTGTTTGTAACAATAAAAAAAGGAAAGGAGAGGAAAATAGGGGGTACACTATCGTTGAAACAAATATACGAACAAAGAGACTCGAACTCTTAAGGAATTACTTCCACTCCTGCTTAAGAGGAGATTGTTTACCAATTTCAACATGTTCGTTTTATTATATACTTCTTTTAGTAAAAATAAAATTTGGAAAATAGAAATTTAAAATTATCTATACATTAGCCCTCCGCCAGTTGGCGGAGATAAAGTGAAATCTTTGTAAAGTTGAGATATTTCTATACAAATTATTATTTAATTTAATTTTACTTTAAATATCTTTAATATATATTGCGCTTTGCCTTATAAGGTGATCTTCATGATATCCCCGCCCCCTAAACAAGCCCGCTCCTTACCCCTATCCCTGCCTGCCGCTAGGCTGCCGCTAGGCGCGAGCGAGCGATGGCGCGAGCGAGGGAAGAGGGGAGGGGAAAGAAACAACAAAGTAAATGGAGCGAGGGAGGGAAGCGGGGTTGTCTTATTGCATTATAATACTCACAATGAAATGAATTTATAACCATTCTGAACTTGCCGTTAGGAGAAACAGTTCTATTGTTGTAGTGTATTTGAAGGTAATTAAAAAATTAATTTAATTTTTTAAATTATTACTTTAATTAAAAAGTTCTTTAAAAGAATTAAGCTAATAAAGAATACTATTTTAATAATGATACTTATTTATATTAAAAATATAAATATTATTAATAATAGTTATTTCTTTGATACAAAACTCGTTTAAGAGGCTGAGTATCTA